TTGTTTGAAAAAGGTTTTAACAGCATTGGATTTGGGAACAATAAAACTGATTTAGTTTTTTTTTACTTTAAAACATTCATAGTCAGTTAAATGTAGCTTTTTTTATAAAAAGATGTAGGTAAATAATTTTTAAAGTTTGATGGTTTATTTACTTAAAAGAAAACTTAAAGACTTAATCATTCAAAATGAAAGAGTTTAATGATTTTTTTATTTAAAAAATAATTTAAAGTTTAATCATTTAAAATTAAAAAAATTCACTCAAACACTAATCATTAGTTGCCACCTATTAAATATGTTTTGTTTGATTTACAATTTTATGGGATTTTTTTTATTCTTTTTTTTAACTTTAAACTAGTGTTTGACATCATGCGTTGCATGGTGACAATAATCATTTTTAAAATTATTGAAAATAGCTAAATGAGTCGATGATAACATTTATATATTAAACTAATAATAATCAATATTATCTTTGATATATGAATCTACCTTATCATTATTGGTTGTTCTTTTAATATATATATATATATATATATATAATTTAAATTACAAAAATGAAATCTTTTAACGATTAATGCGGTTGAAAATATTTTAAAAATAAATAGAATTTGAAAGAAAAGTTTCAACAATTGTATGTTGAAAATATTTTAATGTAAAATAAGAATGAGAAAATAAAAGATGAATATGAAAAATGGTTTTTCATTAAACTTGGTTTCTCAATATTCCATGAGGAGTAGTTGTTGTCAACCAAACTCTAAAACAATTGTTAAAAACATATTGTTGGTTCTATTGAGAAAAAAAAAACTTAAGAAAAATGTAGAAGACATTAGTTAAAGAAAACCTCTAAAAGCCTAACAAAATTAAGAAGAATTGCATACTCAGATTAATCGTGTCGAAATAAACTTGAAAAAAAATATAACAATTAAAAAAGGGCATATTGAAGTTTGGTGATGCTACATGAAAAATTGTAACAAAAAAACTTCAAAAATCTCAATAAAAGTCAAAAGGAAAGCATACACACATTAGTTTTCTCAAAGTATACTTGAAAAAGATAACCATTACAAAAATGTGTTGAAATTTGTTGAGGCTACATCATGGTTAGTAATACTTCCAAGATTCTATCATCAGACGATTAATCGAACCATTGTTGCCATGAAAACTTTAAAAGTGTTGTCAATAATAAATTCTCCGTTTCATTGAGAAAACTTAGGAAAATCATAGAAGAGAAAAGTAAAAAAAAAAACAAAATTCTAAAATCCCAACAAAAATAAAAAGGAACGCATACCTGAATTGGTCTTCTCGAAATAAACTTGAAAATAGATTTGTTGAAAAGTAACAATTTATGAAATGAAAAACAAATCAAGTGATGGAGATGAAGAAAAATGAAATGAAAAACAAATCAAGTGATGGAGATGAAGAAAAATGAAATGAAAAACAAATCAAATGATGGAGATGAAGAAAAAAAGATTGAATGATGAACAATTTATGAAGAAGAGTTAGGGAAAATGAAAAGATTATGTTAAATGCAAACATAAATGAATAATCAATGTTTATAGAAATTAGAATGTGAAACTAAAAAAATTAAAGGAAAATGAATGGAAAAAAAAGATAAATAAATTTCCAACCTTTAGAAAAAGCCAAGTCATCAACCTTGGTTTCTCCTTTAATATATATAGATTAGGAATATAATTTTTTTATTTTTAATATAATTTTTTTTTTCAGTTTAAAATTTTCACAATTAAAAACAGGACCATCCCATTGGGCTCCCAATCCATTGCGGAACCGATCCAAACCATAACCACAAAAACCTAACCGATTTGGGTCTTGGCTCAGGTCATTTTGAAAAATAATTTTTAATTAAATTTATAATATTTTTATAACCGTAAAATTGTTTTCTCAAAAGGGTGTCTCAGGCTATGGTTGAACTAATTTCAAGAAATTATGACTGTAAAAAATTAACCCAGATAAATTTAATGGTTACAACTGTTGTGTATGTTTGAAATTGAATAATAACAGATGAGATATTCTACAACATTCTTCAAGATCTCAACCAGTACGGCGTAACCCTAGTTTATTCCCGAGTGCATGTCTAAGAGATTTTTCAAAATAAATAAAATCAACGTTTTAGACAAAATTGCGTCTAACAGATTCTCTAAAATACATAGAGTATAAAAGAGAGTGTGATTCTCTGTATTTGAAAAATTCCCAAAAATGATTATTAAGAGAGATAAATAGATTTTTTATATTATATTTTTATGAGTATGAAATTTTCATGTTAAACGTTTATGAAAAAGAATATCTTATAGCATGTATAAAATATTTTAATAATATAATTGATGTAATTTTCAAAAAAAAAAAAAAGAAGCTATTGGAGTTGAATGTAATTTTTTTTAAAGATTTGATTCTCCGTTTCTTAAAAGCTTTGGAGAATCTATTGAAAATGTTCTTAAGGGCTGTTTGACAGTTCCTGAATAGTTTGGTGCAGAATGATTAAGAGGCTCTCATGATAGATTACAAAATGAAATATAATTGTCTGATTGTTGTTTACAATGAACTTAGGACGCTGAATGGTCAAAAGAGATCCATAATACAAAATCATTCTGAGAGTTTTAGAACCATTAATAGACAGATTTTTTTTGCCATATCAAAACCAATTAAACAAGCTTTAATTTACGTAATTTGATTCTAGTGACTTTTGACTCGTTTTGGTTTCCGATTGAATTGATCAAATGTTGAAACACAAATAACCCGACCAAAAAAAAACCTAAAGATTAAATGTGTGAACACCATTGCTAACCTAACCGGTCCCTCTTTGTTTTATTGTTGCATCGATCTAAAACCGTTCCCTTGTCCAAACTTTTGTTTCCAAAAAAGTGGGACCCACAAGAAAGAAAGAAAAACATGTTTTTTATAATTGCAAGTACACCTGCAAAAGAAAGAGGCTTCTGTCGGTGGCTTAAAGCATTCTAAAAAGCTCCGTAGGGGATGCTCTTCAGAGACGTACCTATGAAGGCCTGAGTGGAGTCTCATTCGCCCGATCAACCAATTTTTACAAGTAGATTTCTTTTTTTCAGGATATGAAAGATATACCTGCTAAACTAAGGGGTGATTCGGGATATTAAAAAATACAAGAAACATCAATCAAAAAACTAAATAGTCCCTCGAGATCAAAAAACCTAAAAATGTCCCTTGAAATCAACTAATTTTTTCTTTAAATCTCTTAAAACAATGGAATTCAACTAAAAACATATCTGATAGTTTTTATCGTCTTTGATCCATTTTAAGGATGCATCTGCTCGATAAAGATCCTGCATCCGCCATTGATGCTATTATAAAGTGAAGTACATGTTTTTTCTAGAAATTGTTGTCTAGGTCTACCTTTTGGGAGGATAATGACTTACCTTATAGCTAACTTAACAACCAGATGGCTTAAGGCAGCTATGGTTGTATTGTCAAATCTACTTCAAATTTTATACTTTCCCTTGTCTAAGTTTTAATGCAACTCTCAGTATCCATATCACCTTACATACACCTCGACTAATCCTATTGGACCCTGAAAAACAGCCTCAAAAATCTTGAGTGGCCTTAGCAGGAGTTGAACCGTTGACCTACAGAAGAGAGGCTCATGTCGATGTGTAGTATGGTACAATTATTGTAGCACCACAATCACCATCGGGATCAGGCTGTAAAAACTATCGAAAAACCAAACCAAACCAATATTGTACTACACGGAAGTAGGGTTCTAGAGAGTAGGACCACGATAGAGAGGCTGTATAAAAACTTCCCAACTTCAACCCTAAAACAAGTCCAAATCGTTTTGGCTGGCAGAATCGGTTGTAACTAATGGTTTTCGTTCGAATGGTATATAGGTAATGTAGCTTTTATGACATCTAATTCTAGACGATGCGGGTTCTTTTATTTTGGAGGCCACCTACGATGAAACATAACTCCAAAGTAATCATGCAGAAGGGTGTATTTGAACACTTTAAAACTAGGGATGTCAAAAGTCTACACGGAAATAGCCTCTTTACTCCTCGGGTCAGAAGAAAGGCAATTTACATCTCTACCCTCCCCGGACCCCATTTTCATAGGATTCACTACGGTCGTTTGGTTTGCTTTGAACTAGAGATGTCAAAACATGTAATCAAGTAAGATCAAGAAGGGCCACCATAGCAAAGATCAAAAAATAGAAATAAAAAACGACCATACTTTGGAGAAGCATGTCTCCCAGGTTGGTATATGCGACCTTGCCATGCTAGCCAAGGTCGCATATAAACATTTTCAGCAGAGAAGGTAAGGCACAGAAAATGCAAGGTTGTATAATTCCATATCAGTTAGGGAGGGGAACTAAGGTTGCATTATAAGAGATTGGATCCCTCCTCTACCAGACGCGTTTTAAAACCGTGAATCCAGATGTGTGGACAAAGCGGACAATCTGGTACAGTTGGCTAGGATGCTAGAGGTAGGTTCTACATGATGTGTGTATGAGACTATGAAGGTCCCATAGGATCCCCTAATGACCTACGGTAGAAGCCACCATGTATGTGATCTTCATCCTTCATTAACTTTGTATTCTCTGTTGGTATTAGTATACAAACCACCATATCTTCCGTATGCATGTACACTACCTCACCGGTAGTGGAACCATGTTAAATCCTCGTGTTCATTATTGCTTTCACTAGTAAATCATTTATGGTGTTGGTTTGTGGTGGTTGTAGTCTTTTTATGGCCAGTATTTGTTGAACACACCTTGAGATCTATTTGTTTCCACATTGTTGTTGGGTTATTGCACTAGTTGTGTGTCTGGGACCTTAGTGTTTTGTTTAAGATAATCAAAAATCACCCGCCAGTATAAAGTAAACCAAACCACCGAACATAGGATATCTCACACAAATGTAGGATTTGGGGGGTAAAATGTACTCAAACCTTGCCTCTAACCCAGAAAGCAGAGAGAATGTTACCATGAAAACATCCGGCTTTTGAAGATGTATCAAATATGCATGCTTAATGCAAATAAAGAAAGCCTCACATGTCGCAACAAAATGAAAGTAATTATAATTTGACTGCTACAATAATATGTTTAAGGTTCAGCATCTATTACATTTCAAAAGAAAACTATGATGAATTGAGATTTAATTACCTGATCTTTGATGTTTTATGCTTCTGAGCATCCTGAAATTTGAGGTTCATCTTTATGTTTCAGCACTTGCATTATTCCACCTCCCAAGAACCTGACTTGGTTGACAAAATGAAAGCATTTAGATCAGTCCTATCTCCCTAACTTTTCTCCTTTTGGGTATGTTCTACTTTTCTTGTATTTTAAATGTTCCATCAAACTTGTAAAAGGGCAGGTTTCAGAAGTTGGTTCTGAAAATCTTGTATGAAATGGGCTACCAAACTCCAGTAAATGTGAGATAAATTAAGGGTCACGCTCAAGAACCCCAGAATAAAAGGCCCAATGCGAGCTTGTTTCATCTATTGCGGGTTGACCAAATGGGTGTTGCTGTAAATACATCTTTACATCTTCAGTTGCAGCCACACCTTCCAGATAGCCTCGAAGATCACCATCAGGACCTGCAAAAAGTAAAAATTCAAAACATTCACTCCATTTGGCGCAGTCCATGTTTGTAAGAGTGGGTTGTTAACATATTTATTCATAATATGCATAAACGGGTGGATGCATCTCTTGTGGAAGTTTTGAGACACCATACATTCATGGAAAACAAAGAGTCATTGGCCGTATCCGGGTTACCAGTAGAGCCCAACCTCTTTCTGAAGCTCAAGGGTTCGAGTCTCACCAAATATGAGTGTGGGTTTTGCCAAACCATATATATATATATGTATATATATATATATATCATATATACTTTAAAAAAAGATAATAAGTTAGTTCAGTGAATAAATTATAAGATACCTCACCTAAAGAGTTGTCATTTATATCCATGTAGCTGTAAGACAAGGGAAAAATTCCAGTGTGCTTCTACAAGATGATGAATGTAATCAAAATCATGACTGATATATGATAGAATTCTAAAGAAGTGTTGCTTAAGGGAAGGTGATAAATCTTACAGGATTGAGCAATGCCTTATATGGAGAATCATCTAACAACAATGTATTTGATTCATCATAATATCCATTCTCAGAAGCAAGATTATGACCATTTTGTTCCCATATCTTCCTCAGCTCCTTGAAGACTATAAACTTATGTTTGTTTTCAAGGCTCCTTGCACTTGAATTGGTGCAGTAGGATAAGTCCTAAAAGGAACAATGCGGATAAAAATCACTTGTTGCTTGATTACATTAGAGATAACGGAATCAGTAAGAACAAAGACAATTAATCATGAACGTTATAATCTCCAAACACGGTCATGTAGATATGAAATATAACTAACACTTATTAAGACCTTACTGAGTCCTACCGGTGCTGGTCTTAAAATATAAACCACTTCTTTTCAATGAAGATTAATTAAATTACAAGATGTAAGTGGCTGGATTTGATAGAAGCAAAGCTAAAATACACTTACCCAAAGAAACAACAGCTGCTTCTTCAAATCCCCCAATAAATAATCAACCACAGGGTCTAAAATTTTCCTGTGCATAATTTCATGAGTTACAGGTAGCGCTCATTGCATATTAAAGGAGAAGATGAAGAGGAAAATACACAGATTCAATGATACCTGGTTCTTGAAGACCAAATGGCGACCTCAAAATTCTCGAAGCAAAATCCTAAAAAACCATCCAAGAAGGGTCTCTTGAATACTGCATTAAAACAAGATATTAATAAAAAGAGAAGATGTGATTACCAAAGACAAAACTAGTAAGTTCTAATTTTCTTAGTCACCAAATAGCACATGTGGATCAAAATCTTACTTGCCCTTCTTAAAATATTTTTATCGGATTTACAATCCTTTGGTGGGGGAAAAATGATATCAGCAAGCAAACCATTTACATCAAGAACGAGAAGCTTTTTCCTCGACATTGCAACGTGATTTCTCATCACAAAATCTTTCAAAGAGGAATCACCAAGATTCTGATCCTTGGGGATTTCTACATCTTCTATGGTCATCTTTGCATAAAGAGATCTAACCATATTTTTATCGATCTGTTTACCGCCATCTATATGAGATTGCGCAGCAAGTCCTTCAAGTGATGGAAGATGTCCAGACCCACTGTTGGCAATTTCAGTATCTCCTATATTGTCATGGGGATTTAAAATGACAATAGCCGCTTTCTTGTCACGTGCAAGTTGCCTCTTTCTCTTTCTTGATGCTTCATCATTCACATCAATACTTGCAGTTTCCAAGTCCTCTGTAATGGATTGAGAATTCAGATTTTCAACTACTGACGGTTTCCTTATCTCTGATACCTGATTACTTTCATTTTGTAAGACTGTACACTTCGCATCATGGGTTGTGGTTGCAGGTGTGATTGTCTCACTATTGACAATATTTACATAATCTTCTACTTTTGACACCATCTTTGCATCAAGGCTTGTGCTTCCACTTAAGCCGATCTTACCATTAACAATTTCTGTGTAATCTTCTCCTTTTGATAAGGTCTTCACATCAATAATTTCTGTCCCACCCGTCTCACCATGTGCCATTTTTGGGTAAGCTTCTCTTTTCGACCCTAAACCCTTCACGTCAACCACTGTGATCGTGCCTCAACTCGTCTAAAAGTTTTCCTTTTTTTCTCAATTCCTACCTCTTTCTCTTTTTCGACACTGAGTTTTTCCCATTGACACTTGTGTTTGCACCTTGGGCCTGTTACTAAACTCTCCTAGAATGATGACTGTTTATCCAGTCAACATTATGAAAAGGAACTTCCTCTTTACTCCCAGATTTCAAATAGCTTCTTTTTTGGGAACCTGATTCTAAACTTGCACCTTAACCTTTCTTTATTCCTTTCTTGCAATTTACTCAGCTTGGTAGCACCTGCGTTGATTTCCATTGACTGGAGATGCCATGATGATGAACATGTTTGGGAAGAATTTAAAATGTCTAAGCAACATACCAACAAGCATAAAAAACAAAATAAGTATCTGTACACAATAACATAATCCTCACAGATAATAACTAAGAACCCTAATTTCACATTAACCATATGAAAAAATCAATCACAGTTCTCTCCACTACAGAAAATCCCACTCCTCTTGCATTACTCCCATTCAAAAAACAATTCCCTCTGAGTGAGGATATCAAGCAGAGTTACTTCAACCTCAATTTCGATACGAATTTTCTAACAAATTTAGAACATTTTCCCATCTACATTGAACTTTACGTTCCATAACAATTGATGCAAATAAACAAAAAACTAAAAAAACATAGTATCACAATTGAAGCATACCAAAAGCTAACATCAAAGTGAAATCCTAGCTTCAGAGTGCAAATGGAGTGAAATTTAAAGCAATTTATGTATCTAGACATAAGTAACCAGCTCAAATATCAATCGAAGTCGAAATCATGGAGAAATATAAACAAACATGAGAAGCAGAACATCGGGATAAGATAAAAGGAAAGGAAACGATAAACAATTCCAAAGATTTTGATCGAAATACCAGAGATTTGATTGAAGAAGTCGAATCGTCGTTCATACCTGGATGCGAAATTCTTCGTCAACCTTATAGTCGACGTACCTGGAATATAAAAAGTCTGTTCATGGCACCACCATTTTTAAGTGCACGCAAGGCCCTTGGGTAACCGAAAAAGCGACTATAATGATTGATTGTTAGGTTGGTGATCGGATGGTTTTGTGGACAATCATTGAATTATTTTGTAATTGTTTACAATAAAATCATGGTTCTTAATAATTATGGGAGATTCATCATACAAAATCATTTAAAGGGTTTTAGAACCGTCAGAGAGGCAGATTTTTTTTGTCAAACAAAATTTATTTAACGATTCAAAGATTGTCTCTCAATGGAATTATTAAGAGGTAAACAAACAACCCTAAAATTAGGGCGTTAAATAGCTAAGGAAGATTCGGGATGTAAAATTATTCAGAAAATTTTAAAACCATTAAGAGACGGATTTTTTTTGTCAAACAAGATTCACCTCTTAACAATTCAGAAGTTGTCTCTTAATGAAATTATTAAGAGATAAACAAACAACCACTAAATTATGAAAATGATCTTCTTGTTTAGGGTTCAGATTGTATACATTTACAGTAAACTCTTGAGTTTTAGGTATTGTTTGGTAAAAATAAGCTAATTTATTTTATGGTTACACGTTTGATAAACATAATCTAGCTTACTGAAACGTTACTTATTGTTATATTTTTTTAATTATAACTCTTATTAATAGTATTTATTATATATTAGCATTAATTATAAATAAATATTAATAAAATCTTAATTATACATTATATAAATTATTTATAATAATTATTAATCATATTAATTATTTCTATATCTATACTATATTATAATGCATTTGGCTAAAACTCTTAAAAACTCTTAA